TTTTTTTTTTTTTTTTTTTTACATATGTATATATAAATCTTTTCACCAGAACAGATCTTCGGGTATTTTACACAAAGAGTCAAGACGACCATTTTACAGATGGCAAAACTGAGGCACAGACCTGTGCAGTGCTTTGCCCCAGGATGATTCAGCAGAGCCCTGGTGCATGTGGCTCTGGAGCATTATCCAGAGCACAGCAGTTCTGCGTGTTTGCAGGCAAGTGAATGAAGCGTTACATCCCCACCACGTTTTGCAAGGGGCAGGAGCTCATCCTGCCCACGCTCCAAACCAGCTCCTGTCAGCTCTGAAACCAAAGCTTTTCTCTTATTTTTTTGTTGTTAAGAGTTGCGTGTGCAAAACGCAGTAGCAACCACAGGTGGGAACTGCACGCTTGGGGATGCAGGTTTAGTCTGCACATTGAGATGCTCACTGGGACATGGTATTATTCAGGACCTTTTCAGGTATTTTTCAGGGACTGGCTGAACATAGCAGACAAAAGAGATTCCTTTCTGACCAAAGTGTGAGGAAAAGCAGAGCAAAGCCGTTAAGACCTGGCACAGCCTATTTGTGTAAATCCATCAACCTGAAGTGCTACTGTTTTACTGCTTCTGCCCCATGTCAAGAGTTTTTCCTAAAGCAGAAAAGAAACAAAAGATCCTCACCAGCATGGGTACTCCCCGCATCTTTCTTAAAAATGAAATACTACCAGGAAAAAATAAAATAAATTTTAAAAAATTTTAAAAAGACAAAACAGCTTAATGTTTTATTAATTGTTCTATAACCATCCCTTTATTGAGGAAATGCCTGTAAGGAAGGTTTCCAAAGTCATCAGCATTAAGGAAAATCCCGTCAGCGCAGCTCCAGCGGAGACATCCTGTGAGAGCGCTGCGGAGAATGTGGGAATGGTCCCCCGGCGCGGGCTCGGAGGCTGCCCGGCTGCAGATGTTCATCCCGTCCTGTCCGCACCCGTCAGGAGCAGACCTCCAGCCACCCATTGTTCCCCGTGCACATGGGAGACTTATTTACTGGGGAAATTTTAATGCCCTTATTAGTCCACAGCCATAATGTTAAGCACTACTCACACACTCACCCTTCCCTTTATAAAAAAAAAAAAAAATCAAAATCCAACTTAAGGTGAGCAGTGGAAAGAGCTGACCTCTAGTTCTGTTCCCATCTCACGCGGCAAGGTTTGGGTTCAAAATGTATTATATCACCATTTATTAATGTGTACATGCAGATATGAATTAGACTAAACACAGGCAACAATTCAATCTAATGCCTCTCTCCCAGTATAAACAAATGATTATTAAAATTAAAAAAATGGAATAACATTTTCAAAGTAAGAGCAACATATATAATTAGATTTACTGTATTTTGAAGGCTTAAAAAGGACACAACATAGTTCAGTCTTCCGTTCAGTAAATTCAAGCTTTATTAAAATACAAGTATTCAGCACTGCATAAACATTTGCACTGTATGATATGCAAAAGAGATACTCCATTGCTAACAAGACCAAAGCAAAATACATGTTGAAAGTTTCTTTGTCTGAATGTGTTATTTTGATAATCATATATTATCAGTGTTTTATGAGCAAATCTGTAAAAACAGATCATAGAATGCAGGGAATAGAATTCATTTAAAATATACTTTCTGTAAGATATAGTTCAAGTCCTTTTCTTTCTTTCCTTAGACTAATCTTCAGAGTAACTAGACAGTTTCAAGAAGACTGCTACTGCTCTCTACAGTTTAAATGCATCCACTCCTTAATTACAGTCAGTAATTGACTTTGTTCTGCTCCATTCCAGTCATTCACAGGAAAGCAGTTCCAAAGGCTTTGGCTGGTAAATCCCATTTAATGTGCAGGTTTCCTATCCCACTTTTATATATTACCTCCTTAGGATTTCTGATAAATGGTTCTTGGAAGGGATTGCTAAACCATATTTGCACATTGAACAATCGAATTTTCAACACCCTTGGGAAAAGACATCAGTAAAGAATGCTAGCTTTGACTAAACCTTGTGATTGAACAATTTATGATCACAGCCCTAAATGATGTATAAGTAACAACAAGCATAAATTGTTCAATATCAAGGCATACGAACACACCGTCCCTGTACCAGGCACTGCCGAAATAAACAGAGGGACTGAAGAAACAAATCAAAGACAGATATGGGAGGGGGGGGGGGGGGAAGGGGGGGGGGGGGAGGAAAAAAAAAAAAAATAAAAAAATGAAGTGCTCTACATTGAGCTGCCAGTCTCCATTGTGCCAGGTACTTCACTTATTTAAATATTTCATGAAATCCCTCTCTCTTTGCCATCATTTTTGTAAAAGCTACAGTCTGGAATTAGCATTACCTTACCAGGCAGAGTTATGATGCAGTAAATACCCACAAGGAATGACAACTGACATTAACCCTCTTACTTGCAAAGGGTGTGCCCTTCAGGTTGCTTATCGAAGAGCCAGGGTGCCTGGATTCTCCCTTTATTGCCATAATACCCTGGAAAAAAACCACTTCAGAGGCTGAATCCACTCGCATGGTAGTTCTGCAATGAACTGTAGTACAGCCCTGCTGTTAGGCATTGATCCTCTGAAAATATCGTCTCACTGCAGGTAAAAGTGTGTGAACTTCAGTACACTGCTGGGCGGCCAACAGAGTGTGGGTAGGGGAGAGGAGGCAGGTGTGAAACGCTTTTTATGATATTCTATTTATGGTATATTAAGGATTTCTCTTGTCACCTTATAAAGGTGCAAATGGAGGGGTGAGCTTCTTTTGCATGTCAACCATAGTAACACACCAAGGTTGCACTCAACAAGACCTTAAGTTATTAAACAAAGAGATACCTCTATAGATCCAGGAAACAGAGGAAGCTGTATCTAATGAATACCGTTATCATTTTATAATCTCTAAGTATACCTTGGATTCTACCCAGGATCAGCAGTTCTTAAAATTCCTACAAATCATGTATTTTTCCCATGCTATGTTGTGCTCTGGGATGTGCTGTTGTGCCATACATGGCTGCGTTCTGTACTTCCAAACCTTTACAGATCACCTGGATCACCTTTTAGAACACGTCTCAAAGATTCTTCCCTTTCACAATATACCTACACCAGTGGAAAACAGGAGATAAAAGCCAGGAAAGTGCCATGGGATAAGCCCAGGGTCTTCTGTCCATACATTCTCCTTTGTGATATCCTTCTAGCTCTTTACCAATATACATTTCTACAGACATATTCATTTCTTACATTTATTTTAGCTGCAGAACAGGGAAGGAGGCAATTTTAGCAATCCTACTGATAGGAACTCTATGGAGATATGGAAAAGGGCGATAAATTCACACAGCAAAACAAAAATACAAAACTGTATTATTGATTCACTCACTTCAAAGTGTACTTATGCATCTCTGGTGGCTCTAACTATTATTTGCAGTGATGAACTATTTTCAGACAATTCCAAGAACAAACTTTAATACAGGAAGTGAAGAATCTTATGGGAAAGGAAAAATGAAGAAAATGAAAAACCCCTCACAGTCTGTACCCTACAGCAAAAGGGAACAGAGTAATCGGCCCAAGAAGCCTATGGCTCACGTAGATCTCACGTATGGTCATCAAGAAACCACCACACAGTTCTTATTTCATCCAAAGACTGAAACAAGCCATTGTTCAACTCCTTCTGAGCATGGGATAGCTAGAAAAAATGCTGGACTGTTGGGGTGAAGCTTTGGATGACCTACCCCAACGGTTCAGCGCTGGATTATTGGACACTTCTGGACCGGGGAAACCCCACCAGACACTGATCCAGTGCAGAATCCAGTGCAGAAAAACCTAAATTTTGATGTCACCTGGGACTCCTACAGCTTGTGGTGAACACTAAGTGATTTAAACTTGGATTGACAGATACCTCTGAGTGCAGAAATTCAATAAAATATGTTCCTCTTGTTGCACTGTGCATTGGGATTGCTGCCCTTGATATGTGTAGGAAGAAAAGAAATGTGAGTTGCTGGAGCATTTCTAGCTCAAAAGCTAACACTCTTCCCCCTTCCTACTGCTCCCTTCATCTCACCTTGCTCTCTCATAAGGTGGGTTTTTTTTCAGATCATGTTAATCATTCTGATTCCCCAAAATGAAGGGGAATTTAGAATTTTCCCTCTATTTTCCTGAGATATTTTTTCAGTATGGGATCTAGCCACCTAGCCCATGTAACACAGGACACACCATTCTCCATCTGCATGATAGCCACCAGGGCTGGGACAGGAAAGTGGAAAGAGAGTCAAGGAGAAAAAGAAAAAAAAAAAAAAAGAAAAAGACAGAAGACTAGGAATATTCTCTCTCTAAATATTCTTTTAAAAAAACCCCAAATCATTAGAATATAATATAACTTGAGAATAAACACATAAAACATAGATACTCATGTGTCCATACCCACAGCAGAAGTAGAATTAATTAAAGTTGGGAGACACTGTGCTCCTCAGTGGTTTAATTAACTGGAATGGAATTAAACAGGGACAGAGATATGTAAGTTTTTAAAAACATGTCAAAAGTCTAACTGAATTTCTGGAAGTTGATCTTAAATTCTTTCTCACAGATAACCCAGTCTTCCTGGCCATGTTTATGCTGAATGAGTGAACAGCAGAAAGGATAAATAAAATATCTCTCTGTGCTGTACCGTAGTGAGCTAATATTCAAGAAATGCAAATAAAAGAAAACAAAAGGATCAGTATTGAGCCGCATTATATTCATACTGCATCACATATCCATTATATGATTCAGCCTATCAAACAGAGGTAGTCATGGTTATGCTGATAGTTAAATTACTTAAAGGACTCTAAGTTGTTTATGACTACCAAAGAAATTGCATTATCAAGCAGATTGTCTGTCTCATATTACAGTCTGGCTTTACCAATCTAGCAGTCCTTTGGATGTCGAGCAAAGTTAACATTGAAGTGATGGGGAAATATCAGCTTGAAAGAAAAGGTCTTCAACCAATCTTTCAAAAAAAATGATATTTGTTAAAAAATTTTGTGAGAAAGTATCTGCCTTGTGTTCCCAATGTTGCTAGATGTTAAGTAAATATATGCTGATTGCAAAAAAGTTGCTTTGGCAACTCTCTTATTAAAATGCATTTGTAACCCCCATCTGTCATGAAAGTTTTGAAAAGTTTGTTTACTTTGGATAGCCGCCTTATCCAGGGTTACCCCAGCATACAATGATAGCAGTCTTCAGAAGTTGTGTGAGGAACAAGCCACTGGGGATACATTTTTGTTTTAATTGGCACACACAAACACTTTTCTGGTCTGTCAAAAAGATCAAGCTAATATGCATGGCGGGTGTTATATTCTCAGCTTTTGGGAGTAGTAAAGCTCCCTTTATTTAAGTAATTTAAATGATAGACTGCAAAAACTTTGCAAGTCAGAAAAATGTTTTATACTTTCTTTGGGAATATTTGTTTTAAGCAACAGAAAATGTTCTACATATCTAAAGATGTTGAACCTTATGTTATAATTACCCCGTTTCTTCTGACTCTAAAAATTATTGTGAAAACCAAGCATTGCAAAGAGGCAACAAGCAGATCTTGTGTTTTCCCAACTTCTGCAATATTAGCAATTGTAAGACCAATTGCTGCCAGATGTTTATAAGATGTCTTCAGTTGTGTTACCCTGTGGCATGACTGATTTGCGCATCCATTCTCTGGGAACCTCCACGGGGTCATCGTATCAAAGCAACCTGCTCGTATAAAATAAGCTGCTTTTTAGAGAAACTAACCTAGTGTTTGGGGTATACACATCAATGGCTCTGAAGTGGATGTGACAGTCTGAAAGTCTGGGATCAAACATCCAAATAAGAACAAATTTTTTAATGAAACTGTATTGTACCGGTGATGAAAAGATAATTTTTTTTTCCCCTGGTAAATTCGTAGGACTGAGTACATCAACATAATTTAGTAATAAAATAATGAATTCTGAGACTGTTGGGAAGAAGAAGAAAAAAAAATCTTTGAGCTTAATGCTTCCCTTCTGCTGTGCAATGAACTCATAGTATCGACTGAATTACATTAATACGAGCAAGGAGAGAATCAGGTCTTTTCTTTGCATTATAAGTCAAATCTTTCCCTTTCCTTCCTGGCTGTGAAGAATCTCACTTGCAGAGGAACTGATTTATATCACTTGTAAGGACGATATTGAACAAATGGGAGGTCATGATTAAAGCTGATTAGGCCCTCAGAGACAAGAACTCCTCCTTGGATTTGAAGAGGAGCTCAGGCTGGAGGTCCACAGAGCCTCCCTGGAGGGGGAAATTTCCAGCTCTCTGCCAGAGATACTGGGACACTTTCACCAATTTCAAGGAATATCTTGTTATTCTCCCTTTTTCATTCACCACTCCAGGTCTTATTTCTTGCTGCCTTTGGAGATGTGTGATAAGAAAGCACATGCTGCTTGAGCAAAGGGAAAGTTAAGGAAGAGCAAGTACTTTCTGCTAAACATCCAAGGAACTTACTGATGATCTGCTACACTGCTATTATGCCCTATGCAAGGCACAGTTGGACTAACTACTTGGATTGGCCTCTGAAAAGCAGAGCTTTTCTTCAGAGGACAAAGAGCAAAAAGGAAAATGTGAGACAGGCAGCAGAGGACCATCCTGGACGTCACACACCTGCACACAGCCTCCTACATCTCCTCCCCAACCCGTCCCCTGCTCCACAGATGCACTGCCCTCAGCACGGGAGCAGGATGGAGAGACTTCTGACAGCCTTTAGGCAAAAGTCAGGGCAGATGGAAGTCACCAGACCTGGGCAGCGAGAAAGAAGTACCCCCAAACCTAGCTCAAAGCAGAGAAGCAAGAGATAATACAACTGAGTCGTGCCTGTGCATAGCGGGAAGTAGGGGAATAGACAATTGCACGCTTTGTCCACAGATGAATGCTAAAGACAATGTATGAATACCTACTGCAAGCTACTTTTCTCCTTGGGATAATATTTTACCGTTATTGCCTTTGCAATCTGAAGCCATATATTACACAGCTACACACAGAGATGTCGGCAACAGTTTCCTAGAGAAGTCCTGTCTGTCTTAGTTTTACCAGCTGGACAATACCTAGTGATGAATGGTCCTCCTGTCTGATTTTATATGCATGTTATAACACTTTATGATATATGTGAGTGAGACTCAACATGATAAGTCCTTGTAACAAACAAAAGTATCAAAGGGAGAATGAATGCTCTACTTTCAGTACAAGCAAAGATTTATATAAATAAAAAATATATATGTGCTATGTGTAAAGATTTCATTTCATTGACTCTTATTTTAGCCAGAAATTTATTCATCGGTAGCAGAGCGTTTTACAGCTACATTATCTGCAGGCAGAGGCTGGTACTGGCTTTTAGTATTTCATTTACTGACACATGTCTCCTATTAATAAGTGCTGAGATTGCACAATAAGAAAAAGAAGAGATGTTCCTATAAGTATCTTTATACTTATAGTAACGTATTTGGCCATGATTATAAGTGTTTATAAAACATTCAAGAATCGTTCCTTGTCTACTTACGCTAATGAGAACACCTGTTAACTTTAGAGCTGCACAGGCTTATTTGCATTGAATTCAGGTTTTTTGCATACTGTACATCACTTTTTGAAACAATTAGATGTTTACAGAGAAATATAGCTAAAAGAAGAACAGCAGCTTGAATGCCCTCCAGCCCAAGTCAATGCTAATCCTGGTTTGCGTGAAAAGCAGAAATCTGCTGAATTATAATACTGACACAAATTCAGTTAGCAGTGAACAAAGGTGTACCTGCAAATCCTCTGATAGCAGATGTTACTTGTGGGGATTGATACCCGCTGTTGAATAAAGCATCTCTTAGAGATGAAACGGCACTACTGAATGGGATTTTTCATTGTTATATTTATTTTTTTTTTTTTTTTTTTTTTTTTGTGACTCAGAACCTCTCTGTGTACTGAGAGTGTAGAACACACGATCATTTTCCAAAATAGCTGTTTACATTATTTTATTAACTTGCCAAAAGCCAATATAACAACACAAGAATCCTCCTACTGCTAGAGATCCAAAACACCATCTCTGCAGTAGAGGTTTTTGTGGCCTGGGGCAAGGAGGCAGGAGGTCCCTTTCTGTAAAAACAGGTCTACTGAACGGTAAGTGTAATATCCTGCTGCTCCATGACCATGCCAGCTATTGTTTAATAACAATGTGAAACATCAAAGTTGGTCCATGATCTGAACATATACTCTGCCAGCTGTGTCAAGTTCCTAAGTGTTACAGGCAGGAAAATATAATGGTTATTATCTTCCCTTGCATGCAGGGAGCAAACAATTCATAACATCTTTGGTTTGCCTCTTTCCATCTTTATTTGTAAGCAAATATTAGGAAAAGCTAAACAGGATGAAAAGTGTTTTGAATAAGGCTATTATATCCATTTAAGAAAACAAATGTTTCCAACTACAGCAAGTTAAAAGTATTTCTATTTTTAAAAAATATTTAGTGTTTTAATAAAAATATTGCTGTTGAGACTTTGGACAAAGATGAATACATTGTGTCAGCTATCTGGACTCTAGTTTCTAAGAAGTCACAATCTTGTTAGAAAACTTTTGAAAACTCGTAACACCATACATACGGTTGTTAACTGGGAACAGAAGAATATGGATAATTCAAATATAGTTCCTAAAAGGCTAATAGACTCTGAATCTTTCTTACATGGTTGTGGGGTTTTTTAATTTGGGGATGAAATTATTTTTGTATATAAGTAGCATCACAGTATAGATAGTATGGAGACAGTGTTCTATTCAAAGAATAATATCTAATTTTTGAAATTAGAAATTCTTGTAATATAAAAAAAAAAAAAAAGGTGGATCTTTGTATGTCTCCAAATTCTCGTGATAGTTTCAAACCGGTTTTCAAGTGTTGGAGGATCCTGGGATTTTTCTTTAGACGTTCTGGAACTGCACTGACAGCACTGGAAATGCACTGGTCTTTAAATTTAGCAGCTACTCTATGTAGTAGTGTAGTAATGACAGAAGGTTACTCAAAATGTTATTTTAAAATATCACATAACCAAAATATCAAATTAACTTTTCACAAAAGGTGTCTAAGGGGAGCTTTTCTAGGGAAGGAGAACATAGCTCAGAACTCCGAATTTAGTCAGCTAGTGGTAATTGGGTGAAAAACTACTGAAATATTTGACTGTGTAGCTCACAAACAAGGCAACCTACTTTGAATCTGTAATGTATTGTTTTTTAAGAAACACAGTGAAATAAAAAAAAAAAACAAGAAAAAAAAAAACAAAAACATGTGCCTCCTCTCTAGATCTTTGAGTTTCTGATATGCACTGGGTTATACCAAATACCAAACATTAAAAACAAATGCTATTTTTAAAATATGTATAGCTTTCACAAGTATATGATTTTTTTTCATCATGTAGGCTTTTCTCATGTATTAGAACATGATGTACACTTTGACATCTGTCAGTCAAGCTTCTGGCTATCACACTGGGCAATCTGGAGGGACGCGTCACAATGTGATGTGGCATGCAGAAAAATTGAAAAACTCCATTTTTCCAAAATAAAAATCACATCTTCTAGTTTTAAATAGAGAGAATGATTACAAAATATTTGGCCATCAAGACTGTAAAGATTGAGGTTGGATAATCAATAACGTTTGTGGTTGAATTACCCACTGATAACAAGCAATTTCCTGCTATTCGTGAGGGGAATTGGGAAGTGGTTTTTGGGAATTTGGCAGACTCTCTCTCTTTTCTAAATATGCTGTGTCTGAAAGCCTGATACTCTTTTTCTATTGCAAGCTTTGGGATGATGCAACATAGGCGAATGCGGGTTTGGGGTGACAGCTCATTCAGGAACTTAGGGGTCTAAATATAAGAGAAGCTAAAAATACACAGAATTATCAAGCACAGGAATGGCTGGGTATTTGGGTTTGAGTCCTCCATGCCATAATCATAAGGCCATATTTATCTGAAGCTCTGCAACACCGTGATTGTTGCGCCACTTCTTGTCACCAATAAATGTACAGTACACATGACAGGGAA